GTGCTCAAAGCCGTGTACCCCGAGGACTATATGATCCTGAATCTATATAGCTTTGAGTACATTTTCTATAATAAAATTACATGTTATTCTATTATAATATTATGTTATATAACTTATAATACCACACACACAAAACTTGCTCTAATAACAGCGCAATACTAAACAATTCTGAGAAATTACGCATAGCTATTTTTGTTGCTTCACATAATATACAAATACTTACTGAATATTCACTATACTTAATGGGGTTTTGGGGAGCCAATGCGTACCATCATAAGGACAGCGGAGGTGTATTATGTATTTTAAGGTGCTATATATAATTAGATTATCATGTCAAAGGCCTAACCTAAATAACTATGTAACTGTACTGTATATTTAATATGTAATTTGAAATTTTTTCTCATAATAAACGATAGTATTACCGTTCCATTTAAATGCTACGTAAGTACCTACTCTCAAAATACGCAATAATGCAGTACCCTACTAGGTATCTAGGTAGCCATCGATTTACACGTTTACTAAATATTGAATGTATGCACACACTCGCTAAGTTCAAACTCATTTTACATATTCAATACCCACGCCTAAAAGTAAATTCAAAATTTAAAGTATGCCTATTGCACACATACATAGAAACACAAAATATCGTCTTCATTCACACACGACACACGTCTATACAAAAACTCAAATTCACAAAAATTGTGACAAGGATTAATGTGCCCGAATAAACGAGCACAAAAATATGATAAAAGTGCTAAGGTTGAGGTACCAAAACATGCATATACTCAAGTAACTTCAAGAAAACACACACGCAATTGTAGTAGAGTAACGAACCTTGAGATAGGCGCCACTTCGTCGTATACATCGAGCACTTCGAAGTACACAATAAACGAATAAATAATATTATAAGCACATTTAATAAACACTGGTGTCGAGTGGTAACCGAGTCATGCGATCACCATTACTGACCCCACATTTATCTAGTAACTCTAGTACTATGATCTATGACTTGTATAATATTATCGCTTAACTTAGTTTTTGTTACGCTACATCTGCTACAACTTACTGAATAAGACTTAATACTAAACATTGTTACAAACATGCTTACTTAGCCTACTTAATATTTCTTATATTAATAATTTTTTAATTTATACGTGGTACAACAATGGTAAGTACTAACTTTGTTACCTGCAAAGTTAGACGTAAAGTTCACAGGGCCGTATTTAGGGGGGAGCAATGGAGAGATTGGCCCCGGGTGGCCAAATATTGATCTATTTAGGGGGCGACCGGGCACGCTGTAAATCAGTCTAGTATTTCATCAATAAATATTTATTTTTTTTAGAAATAATTTGTACTATGACTCGACCCTTGTGAACTTAGCAGTGCAACGATAACGGATAAGTACTAGAGGCTATCATAGAATAATATTAATACTAGCTGAATTACCCGGAAAAACTCCTTTTAGGTGTAAAACGCTGTGGAAGCGCTGTCGAAAAGAAGAATGTTTTTTTAAATGTAAATTATATAATATTTAAATTTGTAGCCACATGTGTAATTATATGGGTAATATTGTTGAGTGCTATATATTTGTTATGCTTAGTCAATTGTTTTTGCTTTTTTTTTATAATTATCCGGCTTCATCCATGTGTATATTTTTTTCATATTTACAATATTGTTGTAAAATGTTATGGGTTGTGTGCTAACTATTTTTTTATGCAAAGTCGTTTTCGCATTTTTTATAGTACCTCCTTGTATACAGTATTTTTGGTTCTTCCTTCGGAAGACAGTATTACCAGACTATCAGGAGAGCTTACACGTGAACAGGATACGTATAATTGGCCATGGGAGAAACAGTCATTCCTTAAATCCACTTCTGCTACTTTCAAAGACTGTCCTTGCGCTTTGTTAATTGTCATGGCAAAACATACCTTTACGGGAAACTGTAGCCGTTTGAATTGAAAGTGGAAGTCAAATGGAATTTAAGGTAGTCTTGGTAGAAAAACTGTTTCTCCCATACCGTAGCCTGTAAAGATAGTTGCTTCAATTACATTTTTATGCAAGGTCTTAACCCGAGATCGTGTGCCATTACAAAGTTTTGGAGGTATAAGGCTACGCAATAGCATTATTGGAGCTCCAATTTTCAAACATAGATTGTGAAGTGGAATTCCTGGTGCGTTTAAAGTGTGAAGGTTAATATTATTTGTTAATATTTTATATGTTACGCAAGTCCGAACTGCATGGTAGTGTGGAGTGCAAATGAAATTAACGTGTTTAATGTTCAGGCACCGTGGTAAGGCAATGGAGAGATAATCAATGTATAATACCAAAGCATTTTTACTGCTCCAAATGATGATAACAGTTCCAAAATTAAAATTTATAAACCATGTATCATTGTAAAAATTATACTGCATTCATCGTTCCAGTCAGAACCCAAAATAAATAAATTACCAACATAATATTGTTAGTTAAAAAAAAAATTATTCCTGTTATACTCCACTTGAAATCAACAATATTTAAAAAATCTAATTAAATTAAAATTACAACAATAATAATGAAAAATATTTGTAGGTTAGGTTAGATTATTAATCTAGAAATAGCCGCTGTGTGAAAAAAAATATTTATCAATGCATTTCCGACTATGTATTCCCTTAAAATACCGAGATGGAGTGAGGGGGTCCATTGAGGAGTCATATAACCCTTTACTTCAACCTCGAACAATAAACACAAAAAACATACAATGTAACAGTAAAAAATATTCTAAACAGTGAACAACGATATTTTCGATGTTTATCTCGAGAAGCTTGCAAGCAAATGTCCGTCCGTACACTTAACGTATAAGATTGTTGATGGACAATAACATAACTCCAAAGTAATATATAATATTATACAAATGAAATAATAATATAGTATAAATGCATCGAGAAGTGAGGACGATCCACCATTTCATTGTATATGCACTGAAGGTTTGTATATAAAATTATAAACGTTGAAAAAGTATAAAAAAAAAGTTCAACAATACATTTTCAATTTTGTAATATTTAAAATTTTAAAACCGTGATAAGGGAATATACATAATATTATATTGCAAAGTATATAATTAATATTTAAGTACTTGAATAAGACGTATAATAAATTGTGCAAAACCTAATATTTATGTCTGGGTTTACTTTATTATACTACTCGTATATTGATTATTTTACCTAAGGTAAAAAATGTCAAAATAATACGTTACCGGAGAAATAAATATTGTATCCTCGGCCTGTGCCATCCCTGTACCAGAATTGCCTATTCTACACACCACGTTATATTAATATATAATATTATTGTTTAATTGAAATATAATAAATAATAATGCATACTGCCCATCCTGTGGTGTAAATCTATCGATCAAACACATCATGACCGAGTGCAACACCTACAGTGATGCAAGGGAACACAATCATCTTCCGGAAGACATATTTGAAAGCCTCAGACCTAACCTACCAGTCTCCAATATAATAGCCTTCCTTCAACAGTCTGGTTTGCTCAAACTTATCTAATAACCATACACATTAAATAATTATTTTTTATTCTTTTGTCTTTTTTTTTTGTTTTTTTTGTTTTGTTTTCTAACACATAACATGTAGTAACATTATTATAATATATTATATATCCCAATGGCCTTGCTGCCAAGGTTTTCTATTTTTTCTTAATAAAAAAAAAAAAAAAATAATGCATACATCATACATATGAGATATCGGGCGAATGGCCCATACTGGGACTAAATAAAATAAAATGTATATAGAAAGCGTCCACCGAGCATAACAAAATAGAATATTATGAATATAATATTATACAAAATAAGATGATAATCTTTTAAAATGTTGAAGTGAAAACTTCTTTAGGCGCTTTTAGCACTTTTTGTGGGTACTGAATTGAACTGAGCCCGCCACGCTCGGCTATGTAACGCTTATTCGGGCATTGATTAAATACAAATGTATTTAATCAATGATTCGGGTGAAGTCAGCTCGAGTCACGGACAGTCAGCAAAGCGAGAGAGGACGATAGTCGAAGCGTCACTGCCATACTCACTTGGCAGAATTGGTTAGGTGCGCGCGCCTAACTTTATACAAATTGATAGGCATCTATTTACTTAAAGTAAAAATAACAACAAGACAAAGGAGCCTGCGGAGACGTCTCTCCGACTCGGAGAACACTAATATAAGCTACATCAGATGTATAATTCTAGTGATATAATAATAAATATGAGACATGATTAGTATCAGTACGATACACTGTTCTTGCCGGTGACTGTGTGGGCGTGTGTGGTGGCAACGTCCTTGACCAACAGGCAATACGCCGATCTAATCGTGTGCGGTGAGCGGCAATGACGACCTTGGTTGCTAATGCTGATCCATCCCGGTCGTCTGGGCGGCCCACAACTTCAGCCGCGATAGCTTTCGAACACCAATAACGAACCGGCTAAGGAAGTGACTATACAAATTAGAGAGCCCACGAAAGGAAATGGCCCTACACAGCCGAACCAATATAAATGCGTCGACCCCTTCCAACCGGGTTGCAAGTGCACGACACGCTCGGGCACAGAGCAGCAGCTTATGCGCTTCCTACGCACAAGCACAACACTAATAGTGCCAAGTGGCTGGAAACAGCGGGTGCTCTTATCGGAGTTTACGACGACTGCAGCGCATTCTCTCGTTGCGGCGGCGGCACGAGTCAGCACGTAAAGGCGACGAGTTTTGAACAACAATTGTGGCATATTTCTATGGGCCTATTTAAGAAATTAAAGACGTGAGTGTAAAATAAATTATTATTTATTTAGTAGGTACGTTATAGTTGGCTCCATTGACAATTTTAATAGCTACATATAGCAACAGTTGTTTAAAAAAAACATTATTCAGTTTTAATAAAAACTAATCTTATATTTATTTATATTAAACTGTAGAAACTGGATTAAATATCTACATAAAATTAACAGATTTAAATTATCTGAAATTCTCGAAATGAAGAATGGTGAAATGTTTTTAACTAATGTGGAGAAGCGGAAAGCGATAATCAAGCAACAATTTGAATACAAACAAAAACTCATATCGTCAAATATAAAATTACTGGATAAACATATTCAGAATTTTAAAAACCATCGGATGAATGAACAAATTTTAAAAATTGCTAAAAATAAAGAGAAATCGGATAAAACCAAACTTCGGATAAATAAGTTGAAGGACTTAGCATTTTATACAAGTTTGGAGTGGAAGAATAAAAGAAAAAATAGAGATCGAAAAACTGTGGAAAATATAAATAATCTTAAACGTTCTTCATTGTCTACGAAACAAGATAAAGAATTGAACCAATATTGGGCCAAATACGACAGTCAAATACGAACAAGGGAAATCAACAAGAGTTTGATACAGAAATATGTTGAAAACAAAGAACCATCAGTGGAAGAAGAGGAGGCGATTGTAAGTAGTAATGGAAATGAAGATATAGAAATGGAAGCGGAATCTTCAGATAATTGTGCCTACATTCCAGTGAGTGATAATGAATAACCTTAGCCAATATTCACATAATGTATATTTTTTAATTAATTATTTTCGAAAAATCATGGAAATGCAATATTATCTAATTTTTAACACACATGTGCTTACATTTCTTAACTATTTATTCTTTATAAAAAAACCTTACTTAGACACTAATCGTTTTTTTAAGTAAGGACATTTTTTTTTCTAATAACTTTTTATTAGTAGTTCACTGATATAGTATTTTCATTAATTGTGTATTGTTAATGTAATTAATAATTTTTTTGTACTTGAGAAGAAGGAGGGTTATTTCAATGTTCAACGCTGTACTGCAATACTTCTTCTAAAATACTGGGTTCAAAAACACAAAACATAAGTGTTCAGAAGAATAATAAAACATAATTAATTTGTTTATGTATATTATTTACTTTTAATTTCTATGGAATTTGCATACATTTTGTATTGTAATTATTATTAATCGTTTTATAACTTATAAAAATAAAATAATAGTATGCTGTGTTATAAGAATTTTTTTACTTACCCCCCCCTCCATAGCTGATATTTTTACGGGCACCCTTGGCTTCATCGTTTTCACTTTTTCGTGTTGCAAAGTGTACATCTCTTTCTGGTGGATCTTTCTGGTTGGTGCATAGATTTCTCAGTTTTAAAAGATGGTGATATGGTTGGTTTTTCTTTCTTGATACTCGTTTGTGATGGTGATGATAGTTCATTAGATTTGCAATGCTTTTCTATTAATGATTTTGTAACAAAATCGCTTAAAATGTCACGTCGAAACGGTTTTATCGGTTTTTTTTTTTTTACCCAATTGGTTGTAAATTACATAAACATTTACAATTAACGCACCAAGAAAAAAAATAAGTTGATGCCATTTGTGACTTTTCTTGTCTATTTGATACTATTTTCATTTTTATCGAAATTGTGGATGTAATTTATATCTTTATAATTCTAAAGTATTATAGAGCAAAAAATCATGATTATAGTTTTATATTTTGATTTTCTTTATACTTAAGCCACATTTCGTAGCTCATGGAAATTGAACTGAACAAATTGTATTTCTGAATTGTAATTAATTGACACAAGTTTGTAAATACCTATGTTAGAAAAATCTAACAAAAATATACATTTTCACACACAATCAAAAATATGACACATACTAATGGCATGTATAGTCGTATATAGGTTTATAAGTATAGAACCATATCATATAACATTATTTTCTGTGAAACAAGCTAGGTAATATTAAAATTGTTTGTTATAATTTGGACCACTATTCAAATACGGATTTTTATTTTGATGGGTTATTATATAAACACTCTTGGCCCAAATATTAGTAGACATTTGAGTACCTATAAAGTTTCCAAAGGTTATATATGTATAAATATTTCATAAAAATATTCGATATGAATTATTGCATAATAATTAAACTTGAGTTTAGTGATAATACAAATATTATAAATTGATATAATACAACTAGTGAATTAGATTAATTGATTGATAACGTTCAATTGATTGAATTATTAATTAAACTATAGACAAACATTAATATTCCTTCTTTAATTATTCTCCTGGTTTCGTATTTATCCGAATAGTGTAACACACTTTTATCTTTATGTAGTGCTCACATTCGCAACCGTCATCGATAAATAGTATCTTGTACATGTTCTTTGAAATACTTATTAAACTGTTACGGGCAAAAGTCGAAATCGGACAAACCTCAGAAATGACCGGGCAAAACGCGAACTGCCCACAATCCTTGGGCAAAATGTCATATTTCGGCTTTTGACAAGGCAAACCTAGTTATGACCAACCTAATTTGAGCAAAACCGTATACTGACTTTTATCTTAATGGTAAAACCGTAGTGTCTTATATACTTTCGATAATATTAAATATAAATAATTTTAAAATAAATATTACTATACAAATATAATTGAATAAACTTAACTAATACATTTAAACCTCACTTGAGCCAAACCGTAGCGTTTATAATCCTGGTTAGCTCGCTCAACACCCCCCTGGCTTTGCGAATGACGTGGCTTCTCGTGTACAATTTTTAAACCATCCCTGTGACAAAAATCACTATTTATATTTAATATTATCGAATGTGTATAAGACACTACGGTTTTGCCATTACGATAAAAGTCAGTATACGGTTTTGCCCAAATTAGGTTGGTCATAACTAGGTTTGCCAGGTCAAAAGCCGAAATATGACATTTTGCCCAAGGATTGTGGGCGGTTCGAGTTTTGCTCGGGCATTTCTGAGGTTTGCCCGATTTTGACTTTTTCCCGTAACTATTTTTTTTTTTTTTTTTTTTATAGCATTATAGGCCATTTAGGCCCTTTGCTGCCAATATCAAATTCTTCCACTCTTCTCTATTATATGCATGCATTAGGTCTCCATGCCAATCTGGTCTTAACTCCTGGATATCTCTTTTGACTGCATCTATCCAACGCTGCTTCGGTCTGCCGCGAGGTCTTTTCCTGTTTAAGTTGTTTACAATTACCTTCTTGACAATACTATTATCCGCTCTACAAACGTGACCAGCCCACTCCATCCTAATGCCTTTTACAAATTGTACTATATTTCCTTTTCCATATAATTGTTGTATTTGTTCGTTTGACCTTCTCTCCCAAACTTGGGTATCAGGATTATATACGGGACCATAGATTTTTCTTAACACCTTCCTTTCAAATATATTAAGTTTATTCTCATCTCCTGCTGTTGTAGCCCAAGTACAGCATGCATAAGTCACAACTGGTCTGAGGTACGTAGTATATAGCTTCTCTTTATTTTTCCTAGATAATAATTTTGACTTAAACAGATGTGACATAGCAAAGTAACATCCATTCCCAGCTTTTAAACGGAGTTTTATTTCATTATGCATACAGTTTCTATTATTTATGTTGACTCCGAGATATTTGAAGTCATGTACTTGTTGAAATGATATCCCATCGACTTCCAAGTCTGAATCATCTTCATTATCTCGTGCTTCTCTTGTCATGAACATATATTTGGTCTTCTCCTGGTTTATAGACAGCCCTATATGTTTGCATACTTTCATTAGATCTGACATACTGTTTACGGTATCTTGCTTCGTATCACCTAAAATTATTATATCATCCGCATATGCTAGTAGGGTATGGTTCTCATTTAATTCCATTATCTGTCGTCGTGGCATTCTCCTTAACACACTTTCTAACGCTAAGTTAAATAATACAGGTGATAGTGCATCACCCTGTCTTAGTCCTTTACCAACTTCAAAAGGGTCTGATAGCTCTCCTTGTACCCGAACCACACATTTTGTGTTACTGTTGCATAATTTTATTAAGTTAACTATTTTATTTGGAATACCTAGAGTTGTTAGGTTTTTCCATAGTTTATTCCGAATTATACTATCGTATGCTTGCTTGAAGTCTACAAATACTAGAAGGATATTTTTATTATATTCGTAATGTTTACTTAGTATTTGTCGTAATGTGAATATGTGATCTATCGTTGACTTCCCCTTCTTAAATCCGCACTGGTAGTCTCCAATCATTTGCTCCGATACATCTTGTATTCTTCGTAGGAGACATATAGACAGGACCTTATACCCAACATCTAGGAGAGATATACCTCTATAATTTTCTATGCATTTGGGATCACCTTTTTTAAATATTGGACAGATAACTGATGTTCTCCAATCGGTTGGAATTTCTTCTTTACGCCATATCATAGATATAAGATTAAATATCCCATCTGTTAGGCTTGGGCCTCCAAGCTTTAGTAATTCTGCGCAAATTCGGTCCACTCCAGCAGCCTTATTATTTTTAAGTGATTTAATAATTGATTCTATTTCTGCTCTGTTTGGTTCTAATTCTTCATTTCTCAAGTTGTTGTTTGTGGGTTCCCCCCATTCTTCGTCATCTTCTCCTTGGTTTAAATTGGGTTCGCTATTCAGAAGTTGGTCAAAGTACTTCCAAAACTCCTCTGCTTTATCTTTACTATTTGATAATAGTACCCCTTCTCCATTTAATACGAATTGCGTTGTTGGCTTGAATCCGTTTTTTAAGGATTTACACTGCCTAAAGAATTCTTTAGGGTTGTATCTATAACTTTCCAATTTTTCAATCTTTTCCTTTTCCATTTTCCTTTTTTCCTGTCTTAGCACCCTATGCGCTTCTTTTCTCTTTTTAACATATAACTCCACATTTGGCTGAGTTGGGTATTGTAGCATTTCTAATCTAGCATCATTGCGTAGTTTAATGACTTCTGCACATTTTTGATTAAACCAATGCTTTGCTTTACCCCTAGAAGGTTGCTTTATCATATTGTCTGCTACCTCCAGGACTGAGCTCTTAATTATTTCCCACGCAGTTTGTACTTCTGAATGCTCTTCTAGTCTATTTGTATGAATATCCAGTGCATATTTTATTCCCTGCTGAAATTGTTGAAGTATTCTTTCCTCTCCTAGTTTATCCACATCGAACCTAGTAGTATTTGTTTTCTTCCTTTTCGCTATCCAATGGTTTGACAATATTAGTTTTACCTTAAATAATACTAGGAAATGATCGGAATCACCATCGGCTCCTCTTTTAGACCTTACATCCTTGATACATGATCTATGCACTTTATCAACCAAGACGTGATCTATTTGACTTTGGTAAATTCCTCCTGGTGAGGTCCACGTATATTTGTTTATATTCTTCCTGGGGAAGAAACTACTGCTCACTATGAGGCCATTAGCTATTGCGAATTCAACCAATCTGGTGCCGTTTCCATTACTCAAACATGTATACTCTCACTACCAATTGTAGGTCTATATATCGTTTCTCGCCCAACTTGTGAGTTAAAGTCCCCTAATATAATTTTTAAACAGTGTCCTGATAGACCATTGTACACTCTTTCTAATTCATCATAAAACATATCCTTCAGGTCTTCTTCACCCGTTTCTGTGGGTGAGTATACACATATCAGTATAATGTCATATTGTTTACCGGCTATACGAATATGACAGATGCGATCATTTACTGGAGTAAATTTCTTTATAGAAGGTAACAACTGGTCATTTACTAAAAAACCCACTCCATTCTCATGCTTTCCATTGGATGATCCACTATAAAATAATGTCATTCCATTGGTTCTCATGTCTCCTTCCCCTGGCCACCTGACCTCCTGCAGCGCCACTATATGAACGTTCTTATATTTCTTCACCGCATCACTTATAGACTTAAGTGCGCCTGGTTTATAAAGTGATCTAATATTCCATGTCCCAATCCTGTATTCCAGTTGTCCGGTCCGTTTCCGAGTCGTATCCAAAATATGAGTCCGAGGCATGAATTGTATTGGTTTCATAACATTAGTATTTTTTATAAGGACGGGTTGTTAGCCCGCCGCTAAACCCCCAACCTGGAGGACCAGTACACACCAACTAATTAAAGTCAGTGTGAGGCTCGGGGCCCCGGGTTCGCCATACCCGTAACACTGTAAAGTGCTTCCCCTGAGGGAACTTCCCGTAACTATACTTATTATTATACTTTTGTCTTATTATCTAATATAAGTTATAACCGAGAAACCGAGTATTATTATTTTTTATTATTTATTTTAGTATAGTGTTATGATTTTAATTTAATCACCTTTACATCACTATTGTGTTTAAATACTCAGGTTTTGTCGTTTGTACTGTAGAAATCCGTGGAAATGAACCTTACGTTAATCCAGCGTATTGAGAATTTGAGAATAAACTCTACTAAATGCGAACAGGATGCAGCATTCTGGAATAAGACGGCACCACTTTGGAACAAAATGACAAAGTGTCTGCAGGACAACATTGCCGAGGCATCGACGGGCCTCGAATCGGAACTGTCCGTTCCCAAAGTTTACTTGGAAGAAAAAACTCGACGTTCCCTGCTTGCTTTAACGAACGATGAACACCCACCGTCGTTGATGCAGCAGATTATGATGAACGGTAACATATTATTATTGTTATTATTGTTTTGATGTCATGATGAAAATAGTTGTTATTTGTAATGAGTTACATAAAGTACCTACCTTAAAACTAAACAATATTATTGTCGTTTGTCAACTCATAAGGGTGATCGTTATACAATGTTGTATATTATATATCGTTTATATTCAATTACATTAGTAGACTACATCAAGCACATTTTTTTATCAAAATGATTTAATTCAAATAATAAAAAAAAAATTTATTTTTTAAAATGTTTTTATCATAGGAGGGATGATAAGTATGTTTGGTGTATTTTGTCAAATTATTAGTTTTTAATCAATAGATAGTTAGTACTGCTCCAAAGAAGGTACTAAGATTTAACTATATTTTGAGTACCTATACTATTTTCACAACTCATATTTTATTCAAAAATACTTAGGTATAAAATTACCCAAGTATAGATATCGGAATATCGCGTAATTGTTATATTAATTATAATTGTTGAAATGCTCGATATGCTCGCTTTTGCATATTTTCTTGTTTAAATTATAATGTATCTTTTTTATGTCTTAGACGTGAATTATAGTTTATCAGATGCAACGATGTTTGAAATGATAAAAAGGGCCAAATTACTATTAGAACCGGACACGTCTGCGGCCAACATCATAAACTTGATCAGGCGTGTGACCGAATATGAGGCTGACGTTACTAACAACGTTAATTATTTCGTGACCGGTCTCGCAGAGAGGGCCGTATTCGAGTTCACGAAGAAGAAAGTTGCCGGTGAGTGAACGAGCTTAAGGTGGCTGGAGCGTGACATATTTTAAGGAGTAATATTTAGGCATTCCATATAGCATTTATATTTGATCCGTGTTAGTGTGTGAGAAGTAAATTGATGTTAGTATGTGTAATTCGTAAAATTCGTTATCGCGTTCTTGTGCCACCGGGCACAGACAGCTCACCGTCCGCATATCGACGACATTACGTATTCCCGGAACTGAGGCCCGCGATAATAATTAGCTTAAATACCTACTTTTTTATACTTCCATAATTTTTTTCCTCTAATTTTCATCTATTTTTAGATAGTTTTTACAACTGATAAAATATAATAATACAATAATACAATAATAGTATACCAGTAACTTACTGGAATACTAAATAT